TGAGAGATCTTGGTTTGGGGTGTTTTCCCACATGTCTCTAGCCTGGATTACATCCTCTCTGAATTTCTAGCCACCTGGCTATGACTTCTGTCATAACTCTCATAACATAGTATTACTGTTATAGTTTGCTTGTCCACATGAACTGTGAGCATGGACCATTTGTTTTCCTTTCTTTTTTGATATTTCGTGAATATGTGAGAGATATTGGGTAAATGTATATTGAATTGATAAATTTTCCCTCCCTCCCCATTTCTTCCCTTCCTTCCTTCCTTCCTTCCTTCCTTCCTTCCTTCCTTCCTCTCATTAAAGCCAGAGAAGTGCCCTTCTCCGTTGAGAGGTGACCCCTTTGCTGGCTCCGGATCTCATTCCCTCTCAGCTCCTCAGGAAGCCTGTGCTGTCAGTTACCTCCTCTCCTTCCTGTACACTCAGCCTCTCCTTCTCTGCGGACGTTTCCACTCATCATACAGCGCCATGCTCACGTTCTTCAGTCTAAAACAAAACATCCCTCTCATCCTGTGCCCCTCTGGCTCCACCCACACCCCTCCTTTCTTTCACAGCCAACTTCTTTCTGTGAAAAACAAAACATGTATTGATTTACTTAGTTATAAAAGGAATATGTGCTTATTGTTGAAATTTGGAAAATCGATGTTAAAAAAATAAGAAACATTTGTACTACGACTAAAGATAATCACTGACATTGTCAGCGTATTCTTAACACAAAGACGCTCACGCACTTAGTCCATTCTCTATATAAAATGGTGTGCTTTTGAAACTTAACAATAAACTTTAAAACTATCTTCTTTCATTAAAAATTCTTTGAAATCATGACTCTTAATGGCTGTAAAATGCTTTGTCATATGATAGTACATACTTTATTAAGACAATTCCTATTGTTACCTATTAATGGACTGTCCAGGATTTTGTTCTTATGAATACCACTGCATGAAAATCTGTCCACAGCTCTGATTTCTTTTCCATAAAATAAATTTGAGAAGTGAAATTTCTGGATCAAAGGGCATGAACATACTTAATCCAGTAGTCTTATATACTCACACTGACCTCTAAAAATTTTGTACCAATTTCTCTGAAAATGCTCATTTCACATCATTTATGCCAACACTATATATTATTATTAAGAAAAAAAAAAAACTTGGCCAATTTCATCTCTCTTTTTCAATTCTCTTTCTCTGTACTTTGCCCAAAGCCAAAGTATTTGAAAGACAGCCCTCCCTCCCTATGTCTGATTTCATACGGCTCAGGTTCTGTCCTCGTTCTGCCCCTGACAAGTCACCAGCTACTTTTTAAAATGCTCAATCCTGGCAGCTTTTCAGGATGTCTCGGGCTTTCAGTCCCCCACACATGCCATCATGTTTTCTGCTGTCGACTGTGATGTTCCCTCTGCAGCCGGGTCTGCCCCGCCCGGTGACGTCACATCCTCGACGGCTTCGCGCAGACATCGTCGCTGCGGTCAGCCTCCCGCCACCGCTCAGGCCCGGGCCGCCTGAGCTCCCCTCGCGCTGTCACAGTGCCTCGCATGTTCTGTGCACGCTGTGGTCACAGGGCTGTACCCACTTCTCTGTGTGCCTCTCCCATCCGAACGCAAGCTCCTTGAGAGTAGAGACCGTGTCATTGTATCTGCAGTGCCTGGCATAGGTTGGTGGCGGTAAATGCTGAGCCAGCCTCAATGGGCAGTGGCAGCGCCTGGCCCCGGTGACCATACCCCACCCCCTCGTGCGTCTCCTAACTCGCGTCTGCCTACTCTTCCCAGTTTCCTTATTCGGCGTCTCTTCCCCTGCCCATCTTTAAATGTCGTTGTTCTGCAGAATGTTATCCTCGTCCTTCTTTTCTTCCAAACCGAATGGATCAAATTCCATCCGCACAGCTTTAAGATTCCCAAACCTCTCTCCTGAGCCACAAACCAGATTTTCCAACTGCCTCTTGGGCGTTTCCACTTGGAAATTCCACTGGCTCCTCAAAATCACCATGTTAAACACTGTGCTCGCTTTTCTTTTCTCTAAAACGTACTCCTCTATTCCTCGGCTCAATAAATGGTACCAGCATCTCTCCAAACCAGACAGGCCAGCCCGAAGCCCAGCAGCGGGTCCCTCCCTCTTCGCTCTCGTCTAACTGGTCACCGGGTCCTGCAGATTTGAGTTTCTCAAAGGCCTTCTTCTCTCCGTTCCTGCCGCTCAGTCCAGCTCGTTGTCAGTTGACGTCTCTTGGCTGACAACGAGCACAGCAGCCTCCCCCCGGTCTCCCCGGCTGCCAGCTGTTGGTTTCCCGCCGGCCCTCCACATCGCTACTACAGCCAACGCCACCCAGGGTCCACCTTCAATGGTTTCCCAAGCATCAGAGCGAAGTCTAGCTTGTGGCTTCACAAGTATCCAGGCCCCTCAAGAACAGGCCCGTCCTCCTAAAAGGACCGTCTCTGGGGACGCGGGGGCTTTCTTGGAGCCCGCTACCTTCTCCTGCCTCTGTCCCCTCCGCCTGGGATACTCATTGTCTTGTTTGCTCCTGGAAGATTCATCCTTCAGAAGTTGTCCCGAGGCCTCCTGTGAACCCTCGGGCCGGGGTCCCGGCTGAGCCTTTGCTCCTCTGCTACCCCGTGGGGTATCGGCTCCCTCCGTGTCTCCCCAGCGGGCAGCAGCTGCGCCTTATTTATCTCCTCCAACTCAGAAGGACTCGGGACGTGTTCAGTGGCTGAGTCACAGCACGCGCTGGGACTAACATCTGACCCACCTCGTCGCAGCCTCAGGCCTCAGGCCTCAGGCGTCCACACCATCGTCATGTTTTCCTCCTCATCTCCCACTCTGTGCCTGCGCTTTCCCCAGCCACTTCACCGACACCGCGTGGCAAGTGTCACCGAGGCTCTCGCAAGCACCAAATCCAACAAGTTATTTCCAGCCTTCATCTCCTCGTCCGCTGCCCGGTGTTCAACTTCACGGACGGGCCGTCTCCTCCCTCGTTCCCAGGCGCCACCGCCGCTGGACTCCGCCTGACTCTGACTCCTCCTTCACAGCCCTGTCCTGGCGTCTTGTCCTCAGCTGACTCCTCAACCAACAGTGTTCGCAGCCACCTTTCCTTACTCCACACTCTCCGCTGGGTGTTCCCATCCACACCCACAGCGTCAGCTACCACCGAAATACTAGCATTCCTACATGGCGCCTTCAGCGCAGATCGCTAGTAAGTCCCACGGGCACCTGAAATGCAAACTTGACCCGAGCCGAAGCTGTCGTCTGCCCCCGGGATCTGCTCACCCATATTCTACTTGCTCAGTGAGTGGAGCCTCCGCCCAAGCAGAAGCCTGAAGTCTTCCCTTCTTCTCTAAGAAAGTGCCCAGACCTGTCGATTCCACTCCTGCACGTCTCTGCGTCTGCCGCTTCCTCCCCGCTCCACTCTCGTGACTGAGTGACTCGCTCTGGCTCCTCATCTAAGCAGCCTCCTTCCATTAGTCTCTAACCTTCCCTTCTGCCAGGCACACCCGGCAGCCTAAATACTCTTTCTACAATACAGAACTTACATGAATGCTCTGAGCGGCCCCAAGCTCCCGGTATGAAGTCACACCTTTGCCTGCCTCTCCAAAAATGTCCCTCACCATTCCCTCTGGAATCCCTGTTCTGCAGTCCGGGAGCGTCGCCCTGCCAATGCTTCTGCTCCTGCTGCTTTGTGAGCCTGCAAAGACCTTCCTTCCTTTGTCAAAATTCAGCTCAGGGACCCCATCTTCTGTGCAGTTTTCCTAAGCCCACCGCATCTCCATCGTCCCTCATTCAGAGCACAGACCGCTGAGGCAGGGACAATGTGTTTTTCATCTTGGAGTTTCCAGAACCTGGAATAGCGCCTGACACGCAGCACTTAATAATGAGGCATTTATCAGGGCTGTGACTCCCACGGAGGGGTGTAGGGCAACATTCTCGGGGGGTGCCCCTCTGGCCCTGCTGATCTTGACTAATGCCACAGCATTCGCATCATTCCCCAGGATGCTGGGAGACTGGGACTCAGCACCGCTTTACTCATTTCACACAGAATAAAGCCACGGCACAGAAGGCACTGGGAGAGGGCCTCCCTGAATCACGCCGGCCCCCCAGAGTGCGAGAATCGCCTTACACTACAGGCGGGAGAGGGCCTGCTGGAGAAGCTTACCTTGGGCCCGAGAAGCTCCTTTGGGCATGTGGGCTGGACCTGTTCAGAGCTTTCTTTTCCACAGCACTGAAACTAGAGATTCAGAAAAGAGTTTTTAGGATGTGGGAGGGAGAAGCGGCAGTTGCAGATCTGGGCACCACTGCCAGGGATTAGGAGCCCTGTGGCAGCACGAGGCCTGGTCATGCAACCCAAACCACCATTTCTGGAAAGAGGGCGAAGAGTTGCATAATTGTGCAAAACAAGAAAACGGCTTCTCTAAAGTTGTCTGAGTTTTATGATGGGAAGTGACTCAAGGGAACCCAAACAAGGCAAGAAGTTAATCGACAGTGTCTGTGTGAACTGTTGGCTTTTAGACAGGAGTTGGGCCTTTAGATTTTTTCTTTCAGCCCGAGAGTAATTCAACCTGCTGAGGAGCTAAAATTTTATGAGCTTCAGGAAGGGCTCATTAACTGGGGACAGTCTAGGACGGAGGGCAGAAGTGGCCACAGTAAATTCCAAGGACTTAAAAACGGGGACTTGGAGACTGGACAGCAAAGGGGTGTCCTGCCCCATCGCTGGCCCTTCAGAAACGAAGGAACGCGTGTGCTGCTTGCTGTCCTTGGGGCGACTGAGGCTGAACAGGATAGATGGCTGGCACTTTTTAGAACATTCCCGTGACAGACAAGAACTGGGCTACCTGAGAACACTTGGCCCAGGAGCTCAGAGCTACGTCTCTGTGCCACGGCGGTTAAGGAGTCAGGGAAACTGGCTTGGCCCACGTCCTCCATCAGCCTCCTTTACCTGCGTGCAGCTCTGAGCACTGCACTGTGGGCGCCCTCCCACACCCACAGCACGTTCCGGGAGAAGGGGAGCAGGGCTGTTTCACGCGCCCTTTATTCTACAAATGAGGGAGCGTGGGGGGGAGCGCGGTGGCAAGGGACTTGCTCAAGGTCACGAAGCGGTTTGGAGGCAGAGCTGCAGGTGGAAATGAGCTTTTCTGACTGGCAGGTCACGGTCATCTCTGTTACACCATAATGCCGCCCTCGGAAAAGCCTGCCATTTACTTGGGCTGCTTTCTTAGTGTTCCCGTTCGTGCCGTTGTGTCTCTCTGGGGCATGCGTCCTGACTTCCTCCCATGGATTCCGTGTGTGAGGCCTCTTTCTCCTCCAGGTCCTACGTGATGCCAGCTGTGGCTGCCACGAGCCGGGCAGAGCGGGGCTGCTGCTTAGTCTCACTGAATTTATTCTCATTCGCAAGCCAGGTGATTTGGAAGAACCCGGCTCATGCTGCGTCTTTAGAAAACATGATTTTAAGGAAGAAGTAAAGTTACTCACTGTCGAGTGGAAAGTAATGAGAGTCCCATTTCCCTTCTCCCTGTCTTTAAGGTAATCGATATAAGCCTCTTCATACATGGTCTGAACATGTCGTATGGCCTGAAAAAAAAAAAAAAAAACACACCCAGAAAAACCAAGAGGACAGTGAGTGGGAAGTTTCAAATGTCTCCCTTGCGTCAAGAAAAACCCCCTCTTCCTTACCCTTCAAAAATCTGGCCTATGCTTCCATACGTTTATCCGTATTCGAAGATGATTCTGTCTATGTGAAACAGATGATAGATTCTGCAGTTTCTAAGATGCTTTTGAAGATGGAAAGCCAGATTAACCAAGAATACTTTTCATAGACTGGAAAGCTTTCTTAGAGGGGAAGTTCTCAAACCTGGGGGGATGTCAGCACCCCTGGGCCCCGGACCCTCAGCCTCGCTCAGGCGGTTCTGACCCACGGCCAGGGCTGGGAATGACGTGGTCTTGGTGCCCCACTGGTTAACTGTCCCTAAGTTTTTACATGACATGGTTTAAAGGTGTTCTTGGCCAAGGGAAACTGTTTCAGCATTCAAACATCCCATAAAACGTGGGGAGTGCTTTTTCCAGTAGAAGGGCATGGGATCCCAAATCCATAGAGATCTCAAAAAATCACAAGATCCAGTTCCTCTAAGCTACAAACATAGACAGCTACTTTAGAAAAAGGAGGTGATATTTACTTATTTTTTACATGTTAACCATTTTAAATAATCTAAAATAAATTCACAAATACAATACTGACTGCACATGAATTTATGTGATATCCAATAAACTTAAGATCCTATTCTTTCTCCTGTTCCTTTTCATCCCTTTTTCTCCCACAGCGTGTTTTAACCTTCTAAAAAGGCCACTTCCTCTGTGGGTTCTCCTGATGACCTATTCTGGACACCTACAGTTTGAGCACAAATCTAAATAAACTGGCTTCACCAGCACACAGAGGTCAGGCTTTAGTCTTGAGGTGATGTGGCCTTGGGCCAGGCCAGGTTCTAAGGACAAATGACAGTCACAAGGATAAGAATGTTCTTCCCCATCTCTCTTTCTCGTGTGTGCATTCTAACCTCTACCCCATTTCAAATGGGATAACCTTAAACTAGAGAGCCTTTAAAAAAATTATAGACCCCTTTATAAATCTAATGAAAGCTCTGAACTATCTCCCCAGAAACATCTGTGCACATATGGCATACACACTCATACACACGTATGCTTAGTTCTGTACAATACTTCTATGGAAAAAGTTCTATGGAAAAAAGTTCTATGGAAACAATAATTATGGGGGTTATTTAGTTTTGTAATATCATTGTGGGTATCAATATCCTCATATTCTTTGCCATAAAGAGAACCCTTTAACCACCATAAAAAGAATTGTAAGTTTTACTTACTACACCCTTGCCTATGAAAGCAAACACTCCAGTGGTTACTTCAGCAGCAAATATCACCAGCAGGCAGGTGAAAAACTGTAGAGAGAAAATACTAAGTTCATTAATTCAATACCTTTCGATTTATTTAGCCTCTTTGAGAAATCTTAGACAAGGTTATTACTTTGAATTGATCTAGCAGGAAGCACTTGCTCCTTAGTCCCCTTGTAGTTGGTTTATTCATTCATTCACTCATTAATTCATTCAGCAGTTGTTTATTGAGCATTTATTTTGTGCCAAGTACTGTCCTTGGTGCTGGGTATACAGTGGCTAATAGGATAAGATCCCCATGTCTCTGCCACCATGGACCCCATATTAGAAAGCAGAAGATATGATACATGAGTAAAGCAATAAAAATGTCGAATAAGGTAATTCCAGACAGTGATACACAAATCCCACCACCTAGAACAGTACCTGGCACCTATGTGTTCGATGAACACTTGGTGAACAAAAGAGGTTCTATAAAGATAAGGCCAGGAGGTAGAGAGTGACTGGCAGGGCCTGGCTTTGGGGAAGGTGTGACCTGAGATTGTGCAGTCTGGAGGGCTTCTCTGAGGAGGCGGGAGTGGAAGTGAAGGTCTCCTTCTCGACAGATTTCTGTTCCTGTCTCGTGGGTTGGCCCTGATCTAGCTAAGTTCAGTGATCAACAGGACAGAGAGATGCTCAGCAACAGGGGAAGGAATGGAGGGCGGAGGAAACGAGTTAGAAATTGTACACAGGAAAAATCAAAGACTGCAGTGAATAAGAAGAGGCTGCCTAATAAACCCTCGTGGAGAGATACAAAAATTCCTCTCCTCCTGCCCCTCTTCTTCCGCCACCTTGTTTTCCTTAGGTCTGCTGGCGTTGGATGTATAGCCGTTTATTTAAGTTATGTCATTTTTAAAAAAACAGGTGCTGGTTAAAGTAAGCCATGAGAGGGACGCTAAGTTATTGACCTCCCACGGCAATGCTTTTCTTATAGGTAACATCATTTTCCTGGCTATTGGAAACATTGTAGCTGCCTCGCTCACTGTGAAATATTATTTTTTTAAAGAACAATCGTAATTGCCCCTTATAATTATTAGGCACTTTCTTCCCCAAAGGTCTTCCCACTAATGACCTCATATTTCCCCCCACACTTTCCATCTGGGGCTGGGCCAAAGATAATATTATTTTATGCAAGTGATGGAGACTCAGGGAGAGGGAGCGAGTGTCAAGGTCTCAGTGGATGGGAGGAGGAGCTGGCGCTGGAGGCCAGGTCCGGCTCCCTGCAGGCCACACCCCCCTCCTCTTGGCCCCGGCGCCCCACTTACAGATCCGAGCACGCACTGTGACTCCCGCATGGCTCCGCAGCACCCGAAGAAGCCCACGGCCATCATCAGGGCCCCCGCTCCAACCAGCACGTAGAGCCCTGTGGGAAGAGGGCAGAGGGGACGCTGACCACCCAGCCCGCTGTCTCTCCAGCACGGCTCTGCCATCACCGCTCCAGGGGGCCTGCAGGGCCAGGCGTTCGGTTGTTATGAATACAACGGGTGACACTCGTCGAAGGCTTGCTGAGCCTTTGCTTCCCCAATTTGGTCTGCAGGAGGATCCCAAGAGTAGGGGCTACTGTTTTCCCCAGGGGACAGGGGGAGCCAGAGCTCAGAGAGGTAAGGGGACCCTCTCGGGGTCACACCCCACAAGGACTGGAAACCCATTGGGCCACCCCCACTAATCATCCCATAGGCCTCCCATCTGCCAGGCACCTCACCTCTCAGACTCCCACCACCCTGCAAAGTGGGTATTCCCACATGCGTGCGAAACTGACGGAGCTGAGTCCAGGGGCCAGGGCCAGAGCTGGGACACAAAGCCACACTTCCCTAGGAGCCCTTGGCCGCTCACAGCACTCTGGAATTAATGGCTGTCTCCCCCTTGTGAGAGTCCATGAGGACAAAGTGCCTGGGAGGGAAAGACGGCTGATGGTCCGTCTGGGCAGAGATGAAGAGGACGGGAGACAGTGGGACGCAAGCAGGGGCTTTTGGTTACAGAGAGGGGGGCAGTCACAACAATAAGGCAATAAGGTTTGTGTGGATTGTAAACTGGAGGCCAAAACCTGGAGCAACAGAAGGCTGTGTTATAAGAACAGCCATTGAGGGGAGGGGAGGATATAATATACACCGAATTATGTTACTATGAATATAACATTAGCTACATTTATCGAGGGCTTCTTTTCTCCAGGTACTGTTTTAAGCACCAAGTACAGATAGATTAATTTAATCTTTATGAAGCAAGTACCATTATTATCTCCATTTTTTAGACAGAGGAACCGGGCCCCAAAGGTTAAGCAATTTGCCCAAGATCATAGAGCTGGGATAAAAATACCCGTCTGCCTTTAGAGCCAGCTCATCGCCATTAACCTGTCCTGCCTGTCCAGCTATGATAGTGGCCTTAATTTGGGTGGTAATTTCACTTACTGCAGATGTCATGCCAAAGGAACACTTGTTATCCCAGAGAAAGCAAAGGGCAGAAATGTTATGTTGGAGAGACATAAAGCCAAGTCCTTTCTTATTTCCTTCTCGGATCCTGAGATAAGTTAGAACACAATAGAAGACCTGGCACTTGAGTTGCTTAGAATATTGCCAGTCGCCTCTATTTTATGTTTTTGCGTTTTATTCACATGAGTCACCTGGAAACCACACCCAGTCACCCAGAGGGTGGGGATCTAGTTCCCACCTCTGTGGGGAAACCCTGACCCCGGCCAGCAGGGTGCCTCCGGGGGGCCCCTCTGGGTCCTGAGTTTGGTTTGTGGGCAGATCTATCTGTTTCTCGCTCTGAGCCAGAGCGCGCAGGGCGGCCTGCTTCCTGCTCCGCCCAGACCCTTCTCCAGCCTCCCCTGGGCCCCCTGGGGAAGCCCTGCTGTCTGCAGGGCTGAGAGGTGTTTGTTTGTATCCTGCTCTGCTGGTTCTGCGACTTCCTCTTTTTGCCTCTTCTCTAAAAGAACAATTTCATGAGAACGAACCCGAAATGAAAGAAATAATTCCATATGTAAAATAGTACTATCTTTGGGCCCACTGCCTAAACACCTCATTGTTTTAAAAAATTTCTTTATTTGCCAAAGCTCAAAACAAACCCATTAGGTAAGGCAAGTGTTATGTTTCTGTGTCACTAACGGGGGTCAGGGAGGCAAGATGGCTCCAGGCAGGACACTCAGGCCGAGGGCCCCATTCCCTCCGGGCAGGGTCGGCAGCGCCAGCACCTGCTCACCTCCCTCACAGAACGTCTCACGGGTGGGCTGTCTTATCCTATCGACCTCCTGCTCATGGCGCTCATTGCCGCCCACTGCTAGGTGACAGTCTACAGACTCTCCTTGGGACCCCGGCCTAGGGACTGGGCCCTGCAGGAACATCGTCCATCCCGCACTCCAGCCACACGGGATTCACCAGGACCTGAACTGGCCCACTCTTCTCCATTTTGTGTGGTCGCAGGTTCTCAAGTCTGTCTTTCTCTGTAGGCATTAAGTCCACAAACAAACCTTACTCATCCTGCCTAGAGCCTGCCCAGTTCGAGGCAGAATTCTCAGTGCTGACGGATGAGCGGATACGGAGAGCACATCGAATCTGAAGTTCTGGACCGGGCTGGCTGCCATTCCCCCAACTTGGCTTAGAGACATGTGCCGGGAAAACATCTTAACAAACATCCAAGAAGCCACCACGGGACTGGGCTCTCCCGAGGTCAAGTAGGTGAGGACATGGCTGCACACTTGAGCCTGGAATACAGGAAAGAGCGGTGCTCCTGAGGAGGCCGGGGTGCGATGGACAGAGGAACTGGGGCCTGAGGGCAACAGAGCTGCTCCCCACTGCAAAGAAGCTCGCTCGGTCCCTCGGGCAACAGTCCCTGCCTTTCTGAGATGATGAACTCTCCGTGAAAACTGCTTATTTGTACCGTATTCCGTTCTTAGGCAATCAGTATCCCAGAGCTCAGAGCAAAACACTCTGAAACTGCCCCAGCAGCTCCAAGCCCTGAGGCCTCTCCTTAGAAAGCCTCTGTGTGTACGCGTGGCCTCCCGTGTGTACGCGTGGCCTCCTGTGTGTACGCGTGGCCTCCCGTGTGTACGCGTGGCCTCCTGTGTGTACGCGTGGCCTCCCGTGTGTACACGTGGCCTCCT